AGGCGAGGCCGCCTAGCTCGTGAAATATTTAGTTACAAGACTAGGGGAAGTTCGCGAAAATCCTTTACCCCCAAGATAGTATTGGCGGAATACTGCCCCTGCGCGATTTTAGGAATTTGTCCCAAAACTGCGTCCCTTCTGGTCGCCTGCTTCCCTCTAGTAAACGGTCGCTGTTGCGCGGCCCAAAAAGGAGCTCAGACCGACCCTCGCCGCCCTGGCGGCGTCACTTGTGGATTCTGGTGTGCGAGGACGAACTTGTCCTCGAAAGCAGGCGGTGAGCGGTCGGGAGAGGGCTGCTCTAGAGTGTTGATCGGAAACGGGAACGCCCATGTCGGTTCCGGTGCAAACGTCCTCTCCGGGAGGAAGCCGGGCTCCCCAGCATAGCTCCGTTGCGAAATTCGGGCCCTGCCTGTGACAGCGCTGTGACTTTCAGTAATCTGGAAAATCCCTACTTCCAAAAATAATCTTAGGGCGAGGACTTTACAGAGGTGGCTTAGTTGTGCCCCGGAGTCTGTATTCATACGTGGTTGCTGCAGTTCAGCAAAATGGGAGAGATCAGTTTCAGGTTTTTTTCTTCTAATAGAAATTCCCAGAGTATTCTCAAGTTTGAAATTTAAAAGCTGTACTGATCCAAAGTGCACTACAAAAAATTTAGTTGGGTGCGTCCAAACGTCTTTTTATCCCTCTGTTGATCTTTGGAAACCTGGTCTGGGGATTAGAAACGTCTTTGCCTTCTGTTACATCCCTGAGTTTTGTTGTTTTAAGGCTTAGTTATATTGTATGCCAAAAATGCGTAGAAACTTGGCTGTATAGAACAAAGGGAATTTAGATACACGTTATTTATTTATTTTCTGGTGTTTGAGACAATGTGTCACTACTGAATGTAGCCCAGGCTGGCTTCGAACGCATGTGGATCTCCTCCTTCATCCATAAAACCGCTGGGATTACAAGTAAACGCCGCCATGCCCACCACGATGGATATATTTTAACATTTGTCAGTGATGTCACTAAAACAAAATGTAATAATTAAAACCTCATTTTTTAGAAAAAGCATTAAATCCACTTAGTAAAATCTCTACTCAGCCCTCCCCCCATTCACAGCGCTTGTCTGGGGATCCAAACCAGGGATGCTGTATGTGCAATGTCCCCAGCCCGGTGTATTCTTTAGTTTGAAACTAGGTCTGTTCACACTGGGTTTAAACTTGATCCTTCTGCATTAGCCTCATAAGTAGCTGGAATTACAGGCACACACCACCATGCCTGCCTGGGGGGAGCTTTTAACACATACTGATGTCTGTTATCTACAGAGATTGATTTAAGGTGGCTCTGCCAGTCTTTCAGTCTTATCCGTTGTCTGACTGGAGCGTTCAGCCCAGAGACTGACCTTCTGGTGCTGGCTAAAGAGTTAACCTCTGAATGTCACTTTCTGACTTGGCTGCTTCCAGGAACTCTTCCCTCTCCAATATTCAGGAGCCATTTAACGTGTTTTAACAAACTTTTTGTTTTTTTGAGACAGGGTCTCACTATGACCTGAAACTCACTATGTAGCCCAGACTGGTCTCCAACTCACAGCAATCCTCCTGCCTCAGCCTCCCAAGTGCTGGGATTACAGGCGTACGCCACCAGGCACGGTTTAACAAACTTTTAAAGTATCTTAAATTTCTTTAAAAATGAATTGATGTTGGCTGGGTGTGGTGGTGCACGCCTGTAATCCCAGCACTCAGGAGGATGCTGTGAGTTCGAGAACAGCCTGGGCTACATAGTGAGTTCCAGGTCAGTCTCAACTACATAGTGAGACCCTGTCTCAAAAAACAAACAAATAAACAAAAATTAATTGATGGTGTGCCCATTTGCTTGTTTTGGTAATCTCCTTGTGTAAGATGTTATTGTTGGGGAAAGCTGGTAAGTGGTGTATGGGAATGCTTTTACTTTTACGGCTTGGTCTTCTACCTCAGCCTGAGTGGCTAGAATTACAGGTATGGGTCATTGCATCCCACTCCTACTTCTCAACTTTTGATATGTTACCCTTGTTGACCTCTCTTCTTCCTACTTCCTGTGTCAGATAGTCATTTTAAGTAGAGGAGAAGTACCCAGAACAGTCCTCCAACTTTTCCCCAGTCCCTTATAACTGTACCCCTCTGATGTGAGCAGGACAAAAGCCATCCTATGCTTCTGTCTGGTGTCAAACTTACTTTCTGAGTCTACACTAGCTTGTGAGAGGTGTGATAATCATACAGCCTGTGATAACTTGTGTGGGAACCGTATGGTGTGATAAACTGGGTCCATGTGCCAAACTTGTGAAGCATTTAGAAAAACTTATAAAAAGTGTCTTATAAAAATATTTTTACATAAAGAAAAACATATATTTTTACCACAATAAGATTAGCACATGTAATTTGTACCAAAGTGCCCCTGGCATAAAGGACAAAACCTCTGGCTGCTCTTTGCGCTCCATGTTCTGGCTAAGTGCTTGTGGACTTTGCCCCAGATACTGCTTTTCATAGAGCGGCCACTCCCTGGAGCTCTGCAATCGTCCGTGCCTGTGTCACTCTGCCTGTCTGCGATGCCCATTTGGCTCTGGATCACCGAGTCCCGGCGCTGGATCTCCAGGTCGCCGTGCCTTCCCGGTGCTTCCGGTTGCCCTCCGCCCGTCCCCTGTGCTCTTCCGGCGTGGTGGCCAGGTGGGAGAAAGGTGAGCACCGTGATGCTGCCTCCAGCTGCCAGTGTACGTCGTGGGTGAGCTCCCGTCTCTCGCTGTGAATGTGATATGATAAATGCTCAAGAAACCATCGCGTTCAGAAAAATTACTCAACTCTTGGGATCTTTCTGTGGTAGACACAGCGACTCCCTTTGGCTCCTCTGAGCCCCAAGGTGACCTAACTTGGGGCTTTTGGCCTGAAAAGTGACCCCCTTGTCCACCTGACAAGGGATCTACTGACACCTCAGTATATCCAAAACGTGTGAGTGTCTTCATTGTCTCTCCAGCTTTAGCAAAGTTGGAAGAGATAGGTCAAAATTCTATGTGTTTGGTCAGCATTCACTCAAGTGGTGATACTTTAAATTCTAATTTCATTTTTTAATAAATCCATCACTAGGCCAAGTGTGGTGGTGCATGCCTATAAACCTAGTTGCTGGGGAGGCTGAGTGAGGCAAGAGGCATGCAAATTCAAGGCTAGCCTGGGCAATTTCAGGAAACCTTGTCTTAAATTTTTAAAAGGGCTTAGTGTAGAATGTAGCTCAGTGTAGAATGCTCACCTAATAGGGAGGCTTTGGGTTAAATCCTTAGTACCATAAAAAACACAAAACAAAAACTTGACTAATCTGGGCCTGTGATCACACTTGTGGAGGCTGAGGCAGGAGGATCACTGTGAGTTTGAGGCCAGCCTGGGCTACACAGTGAGTTAAGGGCCAGCCTGAACTACAAAGTGAGACCCTGTCTCAAAAAAACAAAAAGAAACAAACAAAAAAAAAACCTCTTGACTAAGCCAGAGGATGGAGCACAGTAGAGCTAGTGACACAGGATTGTTTTAAGGAGGACAGCTCTGTCTTATCCTCAGAGTCAAATTCTTGGCAAATCATAATTTATAAAAATGGTTACATTGTTTCTAAGTTATTTTGGGTGAAAGTTGTCTTTCCATGTTACTATCTACTTTTAAAACATCAACATTGGGGCCTGGGATTTATCTCAGTGGTTCCACCCACCTTCCTCGTAAGCACAAGGTCCAGAGTTCAAGCCCCAGTACAAAAAAAAAATAAATAAATAAATAAACATTAAAGTGTGAAAAGATTAAGAGTTATCAGAGGTAAGAAAAGTAAAGCAACATTTTATTTATAGAAAAGCACTAGTAGAAATTAATTCAGGCAAATAAGACTATTTGTCAGCATGAGGAAAATGGAATGGTAACTCTGTAATTATACATTGTATGTCCTTTTTTTTTTTTTTTTTGTACCAGGGATTGAACTGAGGATCTTGTGCTTGCCAGGCACCACTGAGCTAAATCCCCAGCACATTGTATGTTCTTTTCCAACAAAGATTTTGTGAGTAGACTCTGAGTTCATCCATTCTGAAAGGAAATCCAGTGATAAAGTTGTATGTCCAGTTTCAATACAGCCAAGCTGCAAATGACAACT